CCCCACTCGCCCATGCGCCGGATCTCCAGAAACGGCAGTTTCCTGCACTTAAAGTAGCCGGCAGCCGGCGTTTCCCCTTTAAGAGCAGCTGCGTTTCCCTTTTAAGAACGAAGCTGGCATTTCCCTGCAAGCTTGCGGAGTTCGCGCTTGGGATGAAACACGGGTTGCACACACTTAAAGGGAGAGAGATGGGTGGCTGTGGGGGGTGGGGCTTCCCCCCCCGCCCATCTGGCCGGCGGCGGGTAGCCCCCCCCCCAAAAAAGGGGGACCCCTGGCAAACCGGGGGGGTTTGGCAACCCTAAGTAACTTAGGTTCATTTTTAGCCTAGTAAGTTTTAGGCTGTTAGAACTAATTTTATATATTGGTAGTTAGATAAGATTGAATTTACATTTCAATTTCCCTCCTGTTTATCTGCAATGTTATGTAAAGTTTAGTATGTTTGTTATTCAATAAAATAAAAATTAAATTAAAAAAACCCAAAGGGTTTTCAAAGTGCTCTGGAGAAGTCAAGCGTTTCTCAGAACTTGATTAGGGATGGCCACGTTGAGAAGTAGTGGCAAATGGAGTTCCCTGGGGGGAAAAGCAAAGCTTTTTCCACTGCCAGGGTTATGTGGCATATAAGGCTGTGTAGAAATGAAAGAGTACTCCGAGTGGAGCAACACGCACATGGGCCCCACCTTGGTTTATTTATTCGTTTGTTTGTTAGATTTATACCCTGCCCTCCCCGCCAAGGCAGGCTCAGGGCAGCTTACATATAATTTTTGAAACAATTTAAAACCATATAAAATCTAAAGTGCTACACATAGGGTTGCCAGACCCCCACCCCAGTGGATGATGGTTCCCCTGTCACCAGGCTCTGCCCTAGGGTTGCCAAGTCGTTTCTCAGCCGCAGCGGGGGACTCCCGGGCGGCGACTGCGGGCTGCACACACGTCACCAGGAAGTGACGTTAGGACGCCGGGCATGCTGGGGGCGGGGCCACGACCATTGGAGGGAAAACCATAGAGTTTTCCCTCCGATGGTCATGGCCCTGCCCTCAGAGTGCCCGGCGTCCTAACGTCACTTCCTGGTGACACACATGTCGGGGTGGGGTTCCCCCGGGGCCTGATCCGCCACCAGCGGGGAACGAGCCTCTGGGCTTGGCAAGCCTACCCTGCCCTCCTGCCACCAATCAGCTGACTGGTGGGGTAACTTATCAGGTGGGGTAACTTATCAGGAGAAAGAGAAAGGCCCAGGCCTTGTCACAAGCATCACATAGGAAGTGATGTCATCACACCAGCGACAACCAGGTGACGCTCTGGTATTTGAGAAAACTCTATGGTAGAATCCAGTTTTACCATAGAGTTTTTGCCCAAATACCAGAGTCTGGATGTCATAGTTTGATACCATCACTTCCTGTATGACGCTAGCAACAAGGCCTGGGCCTTTCTTCAGGTAAGTCCCACCACCCATCCCCTGCTGGCTGCCAGGACGGGCCTGGCAAACCTATAAAGACATGATGCTTAGTGCCCTCTTAGTATGTGTCTAGGTGGGTCTAAATCTGCAGCCACCCTGCTTCTTTGAATGCAGCAAATGGCACCGCCTACCTGGAGCTGTTCTAGGGTTGCCAAGTGGTCTTACCTTGCCCGGCGGGGGAGCCTCGCTAGGCTCTGGGAGCTCCTCGTCGGCGCGTGCACGCGCCAACAGCATGTCACAGGAAGTGACGTGCTACATTGCTCACGTTGGGGGCGTGGCCCAGATCGTCGGGGGGAAACCATATGGTTTCCCTTCGGACGATCTGGGCCACGCCCCCAACGTGAGCAACGTGGGGGCGGAGTTCTCCCCGGGGGGCGATTCTGCCGCGGCGGAAATCGGGCCTCCAAAGTGGGGGTTTCCCCGCCCCTCGGCCCCACTTGGCAGCCCTAAGCTATTCTTCAGAATACATATGGAGGAATCATATTTGAATACTCTCCAGAGGGGCGAAAAAGACTGCATGTTGGGCGAAGCCCCCTTTATCTGACGTTCTAACCTTTTGCAGACAAGAATTCTAAACAGGGGGGGGGGGGCAACAAACGCAAGTGTTGCTTCCCCAGAAGCTATAAGGATGGGAATCCCAGACAACTCAGGAGTCTGCATCTTAATCTGCCCGTGGACGTGAGGAATTAATGAGCAGTAGTTTCCTCATTAAGGAGACATGTAGAGACAAGATTAAAATGACTTAATTCTAAAGCATGCCAAAGTTGTGCATTATTTATGCTGAGGTGTATACACACACACGCACATGGCTGTGTATAATAGTCACACAGTTATTTATCCCCATAAGAAGTAGAGGGAGTTTGGCAAGGTGGGTAATTAAGTTCTGGGAATTTTAAAGAAGGGAGGAGGTAAGGAGGAGGAAAGGATTCCTCAGAGCTATTGCCAGCTGGAACAGACACACAAAAAAGGCAGCTCCATATGGTTTAAGTGTGGAGTTCTGTAGCTTCTATGATACTCTGGCCGGAATGGTATGAAAGTGTCATTTGCTGGGCGATCTTTCTTCTAAACCGCTCTTTCTCTTTCGCAGGTGGAAAACCGGATGAGCTCTCCCTTCCGAACAATGCAAACAAAGCAATAATTCAAGGTCTTCTCCCGGACCAGAGCTATACAGTTCAGATAGTGGCCTTTGCAAAAAACCAAGAGAGTAAAGCAGCCCAAGGCCAGTTCCGAAGTATGTAACTGTCTACTCCAGTTTTGTGCCTGACTCAATGAGGTTTTGCTTTGGAATAAGCTAACGGAAGACAAACGTGTGTAGTATGTCCATAGAAGGGCTGCTTTTGTCTGCCTAGCGTCATACAAAAAATAATTGTAGAATCGAAGGTTCAAAATGGAAAGAAATGTAAATTTGAGCCATGTGTTCAGACTCTATTTGGTTCAGATCTTAAAATGAGGAGGAATGTCTTGGGTTGACAGTCTCTCTGCTAATGTGTGGAAAGGAAAGGACTGGTCCATCCAGGAGCAACCCAAGTTTAAGGCTGGGTCAGTATTAGTATGGGCAGCTGGGGCATACCATTAGGCCTGCCTTGGGGGGAGTCCTGAGCTTGAACCAGAGGCTCAGTGGATAAGTGGATGAGCCTAGAAGTCAATTTGTAGGACTGCCAACCTCCAGATGAGGCCAAGAGCTGGAATTGTTTATTTATTTATTTATTTATTTATTTATTTATTATTTAGATTTTTATCCCGCCCTCCCCGTAGGCTCAGGGCGGCTTACAAGGCACACTGCCAATATAATACATCAATAAAACATTAAAAATATTAAATATTAAATAGTAAATAGTATCAAATATTAAAACATCATACATACAAAACAGTATCCAGTGCTCTCCTCTGGGAGCTCGTTCCACCAGATAGGAGCCGCCACCGAAAATGCCCTGTTCCTGGTCGTCACCAGTTTAACAACCCGAGGACCCGGCACATCCAGCAGGTTCCGAGTCCCGGACCGTACTGCTCTTGGGGGCATTCTGTTATTCTGTTATTCTGTTTACCTTGTTTGTTGTCAAAAACCAGGGCTTTTTTATAGCAGGAACTCCTTTGCATGTTAGGCCACACACCCCTAATGTAGCCAATCCTAATGTGTTTGTGCTGTTGGGTGTGGCCTATTATGCGAATGAGTTCCTGCTGGGCGTGGCCAACTCGGGAGCCATCCGGAACTCGGTTCCTTTGCGTTCCTGCCCCAAAATAGCTCTGTCCTTGCTATTTAAGCTGAAGCTTGCCTCCACTGAGGGACTGTAGGGTAAAACAGACTCAGTCTCCTAACTCAAAAAGAGGACATTTTCATCAGTTTTTTAAAAGGAGCCCAAAAGAGGACAGACACCAAAAAAAGAGGACATGTCCTCTAAAAAGAGGTCATCTGGCGGTAACCCTTGTTCAATACTTCTTAAGGCTTTTGAAGTTCAGCTATGGAGGACAGTTTATTGGAAAGAGTTATCTCTTTTCTAAACTGCAAAGTCCCTGACTCTTCAGCCTTTCCTCATAGGGAAGATGCTCCAACCTCCTAATCATCTCCGTTGCCCTCCTCTGTACTTTTTCCAGCTCTGCAATGCCCTTTTTAAGATATGGTGACCAGTGTTCCCTCTAAGCTGAGTTAGTGTGAGCTAGCTCACAGTTTTTTAGCCTCCGGCTCACACATTTTTGTCTTCGCTCAGGAAGGAGGGCTCCAGAGCAAACTAATTTATGCAGGAGCCAAACCGCTCACTCGCAATTTTAATGCCAGGAGCTCACAAAGGAGAATTTTTGCTCACAAGACTCCAGAGCTTAGAGGGAACATTGATGGTGACCCAGTTTGCCCGGGGATCCTGGAAGTTTTTTGTCATCTTCTGGGGATAGAACAGGAGTCACTGCGTGTGTGTGTGGGGGGAGGTATTTGTGAGTTTCCTGCATTGTGCAGGAGGTTGGACTAGACGACCCTGGAGAACTCTTCCAACTCTGTGGTTCTATGAACTGTACACAGTACACATTCTCGGATGGAATGTCTAGTGGACTATGCTATCAGTTTAGAGAAGGGGGAGCCATGCACAGTGTGATATGGCCCCCCTCACTGTACCAGTACAGAGGTCATTTGAGACCTACACAGAATAGCGATTCCATTGATGCTCTAAGCCTCTAAAGGCCCAGATGTAATATGTGAATTTGCCAGTCATATAAGTGCATGGTCCTCCCTTCCTTTGCCCATGACTTTGTTTGCTTTGGCAACGCTGTCGCTCAGAATACAGTTTGTGTGTATCTGTTGGTGCCATAGTTCAGGGGCAGACCACATGTTTTACATCTGACAAGAATCTGGTCTCCAAAGAACACCCCCTAAAGGGATGAGTGATGATTGTTTATGAAGAACCTACATCAGGTTCTTGAAACCAGCTCTTAGTGGAATGGTCTGTATTTGCTATAGTGCCCTGATTAAGAAATCCTCAAAACCACACAGTACTTTTAAAGTTATAGAGCAAACTGTTGAGTGGTCTCTCCAGGCTCTGAATTGTTAGCTGTAATTGTTTGCAAAGTTGTCCAGTTCCACCAGGTTAGCAGTGTGATTTAGAATGTAAAGCTTGCGGTATATTTAAAATATTGCAGTTTCTTTGGCTTCTCTGTGTTTGTACTGGCTGCAGTATAGACTTCGATCTTCGGAACCGCTTGCCTGGATGAAATCAGACATCCTGTGCTTGCAAAGACCCCCCTTTGTATCTTAGTTGTGTATATGTTTAATTAGGGTTACCATATTTTTAAAAGCAAAAGAGAGGACATATTTCCCGACTGACTACTTCAAGCAACTGATCACTGTGACAAATCTCATTTTTAAATATCCTTTCAGGGCTCTTTTTGTAGAAAAAGCCCAGCAGGAACTCATTAGCATAATAGGCTATACCCAACAGCAGGAGCTCATTAGCATATTGGGCCGCCCCCCCATGTTACCAGAAGTGTGGTCATCCAGCCACACCCACCTTTTGCTTGTTATTCTGTTTACCTTGTTTGTTGTCAAAAACCAGGGCTTTTTTGTAGCAGGAACTCCTTTGCATGTTAGGCCACACACCCCTAATGTAGCAAATCCAAATGCGTTTGTGCTGTTGGGTGTGGCCTATTATGCGAATGAGTTCCTGCTGGGCGTGGCCAACTTGGGAGCCAGCCGGAACTCCGTTCCTGTGCGTTCCTACCCAAAAATAGCCCTGTCCTTGCTATTTAAGCTGAAGCTTGCCTCCACTGAGGGACTGTAGGGCAAAACAGACTCAGTCTCCTAACTCAAAAAGAGGACATTTTCATCAGTTTTTTAAAAGGAGCCCAAAAGAGGACAGACACCAAAAAAAAGAGGACATGTCCTCTAAAAAGAGGACATCTGGCGGTAACCCTTGTTCAATACTTCTTAAGGCTTTTGAAGTTCAGCTATGGAGGACAGTCTAAGAATAGATTCACACATTCAGTTTTTTTACTTAAAACCTTTATATGCTGTCTTTCCACCAAAATAAAGTCACCTAGGTGATGAACGTCGGGTATTAAACATTAAAAATTACAATTTAATATGTAACATTTTAAAATTAGG